TTCTAAGAATTCCTAAATTTAACTTGATGTTCTGTGATGTTTTTCTAATATTCTTTAGTTGTACTCTAATTTTTCCAACAACAGGAACATGGTCTTTAAAGCAGTCAGCTCCTGGTCTAGTTTTTACTCCAACTAAGCTGCTCTGGAATCTTTTTGAAATCAAAATATAATCAATCTGATTGCGGACATTATCACCAGGACTTTTCCAAGTCCACAATCTTCGAGGATGGTGTTTAAACCAGGTGTTACCTATTATCATGCTTCGCGACTCAGCCCATGCTATTAATCTGTCACCTCTCACATTTTTTTCTCAAAAGCCATAGCCACCCCTTATTCCGTACACTTTTTCAATTCCTATTTTTGCGTTGAAATCTCCAAGTACCATTGTTACTTCACAATTTTTGCATTGATCAACAGCTATGTCTAACTCGTCATAAAATGCGTTAATATCTTCCTCTGAACTATCTGCTGTTGGGGCATAAATCTGTACTAAGTTGATGTCAAACGGTCTGCCGCGAAGTTTTACCAATAATACTGTATCTGATATTGTCCAAAATCTGTTCACAGTTTTTGAGTTCTTTGGATCCAAAATAATACCAACTCCCTAATTTATTCCTTCCCGCCCGAGTAAATAATTCTGTACTGATCTGAATACTTTTCCCCTGCTCCTGGCCATCGTATTTCACTAATTCCTAATATGTTGATGTTCATTCTCTTCATTTCCATCTTGATGTTATCCAACTTTCCAGTTTGTACGAGTGTTCTGAAATTCCATGTACCAATGTTCATGATGTTTCTATCATTGACTTTTTCTACAGTAGCTGGATGACGGTCGAGTATTACTCGTAGAACATGATGCTCCCTACCGGACGAGGTGATTTCAATGGAATCCCCATTCACGTCGTTATCTGAATTCCTATTAATTTAAGGCATGATTTTCTTGGGATAGTACAGCGGTGGTTTCCCCTTGACTTCCGCCGGTTTGTATATGGTTTGACTCTAACAGCCTTTGTCTAAAGAGACTTACCCTGCCAGGCAGCAGGGTGGGAGAGGTTATGGTGCCTCTTACCGGCCGATAGCCATGTCGTAGAGTTTTGAAGTATTTTATAGAGTTAGCTGTCCCACCATCTAACTCGCCTTCTCTCAATGACCATCACCTGTTCTGGTCCACGGCCACTTATTCAATATATTTGTGGCTAACCTCTAGTGGATCGATCCCGAAATTGCAATAACTGCACTCAGGAATTCTTCTACTCGCTCTATTCCCCCTTGCAGCAGCTAACAATAGCGCCAGCTGCAACATTATTGAAAATTAGCTAATTCACACTAACCCACCTCCCAATTTTCTTTGCATTTAGAAAATTTCTCAAACCTTTCTCTCACTCTCAGCTGAATGATTATCTTCAAATCTGAGTGATGTGTATGATTTTTTTCTTCTCTTTTTTTTTTTTCTCTACTCCTGGAATGCCTCGCGGAGTCAGGGGAGGAAGAAATATCGAGAACGGGCACTTCTGTTCGCTTTGTATATGATACTTTTCAGTGTCTCTGATATTTCTGCGGTCCATATTTTGCGTGGTCGACTTTTGGGTCTTTTACTGTTGTATCTGCGTAACACTGCTCTCTGTGGTGCCCTGTCTGCTGCCAATCATGTTTCGTGAAAAAAACCTATTTGATTTGTTGTCTACATATAAAGTTCAGTATTTGTTCTGTGCCGATTCTCCTCCTTAAATCATCGTTCTTTTGTCGATTTTTCCTCGTTACACCTAGCATAGTACGTCGTGACTATTTTTATTCTGTCTCCTTAAGGCAGTGTCAATGTTTGACATTGATCGCAGAGCGTTGGTAAAAATATTGTGTTAGACAGTGTTCTTTTAGTGTTCATATTTCAAAAGTGGTGCCATTTGGCTTTAAACTTGATTGGCTTTATTACATCTTTATTGAATTTCATTATTCATTCTTCCGTCTTCTGAAAATATACTTCTCAGATACGTAAAATCCTTCGCCTGCTTTAACTGGTGTTCATCAATTTTAATATTGGTGGTTCTTCTTTTACTGGAGAATGTCATCACCTCGGTTTTGTCCACGTTGATCTTCATGTGGCACTGGTGAACATAGCTATTTACAGAGTCAATGAACTTGAAATGACGCAAATCACCAAAGAGATGCGGCTTCTATTCCCTGTCCACATTGCTCCAGAACGTTCAGTGCTAAAATTGGCTTTATCATCTGCGCACTCACAAAATCCAACCCAGTCACCATTGGATAAAAGAACTGGTCATCATCATTTGTGCTGGAGGAACAACAAAAACTTGATTCCAGTGAACTTCTCCAGGTCTTCTTCTTCCTTTCTAACCTCCTGTGGAGCATAGACTTCCAGCCAACTCACGCCAAGTCGTTCGTTTCTTTGCTATCGCTTGCAGCTCTACCCATGTCTTCCCCATCTTTTAAACCTCAATCTCTAGCTCCCTTAACTATGTTTTTTTATTCTTCCTTTATTTCATTGCTCCTGTGGGTTCCAGTGCAAAGGTTTTCTTAACGTGTGTCCCATCCGAGGCCAGCGTCGTAACTTCACCTCTTGGTCAACTGGAACTTGTTTAGTTCTCTTCCAAAACTCTACGTTAGTGATTCTTTCATAGAATTTAATTCCCTATGTTCTGCACAGGCACCAGTTAATGAATGTTTGTAGTTTACTGGTAATTACCTTAGTTGTTCTCCGTGTTTCCGCTCCATACAACAGTACTTACTGATTTGACATTATAATTAAACATTTTAGGTTTAATATTAGTTGTAATTTCCTTATGTAATGTTGCTATCTGGTCAGTAAGGATCTGTTTGGCCGGAAACCTGTCTGTTCACCTCTTAGCTATTTATCAATAGCATATTTGAGTCTTTCGAAATAATCATACTTAATGTTTTGCTAGGAACTCCCAGTAACATAATTCAACTATAGTTTTCTTACTCTCGTAGATCACCTTCTTGGGGCATTTTCCCATGATATCCATCTCTCCAGTCTGCTGGTATTTTTTCGGTGTTCCAGACTTTACTAAATAATCTATCTCCTAGACTTAAAAATAATCTATGTAGCAATTTTATTAATGTGTTTTTATTGGCCTTTATTACTTCTGTAATGATACCATCTGGACCTGCCGCCTTTCTTTCATTCAGAAAATTGATAGCTTATCTAATTTACCCTTTTGATGATATCTCACAGTTGACATCCAATTCTATTTCTAAAGGCTAGATATCTGGATGAACCTCTAGGGCTGGTCTATCCTGAAGTTTTTCAAAATAAGCAGCCGATCTGTCCATTTGATCAATGAGCACATGAACACATATCACAAGACATGGACACATACCACAACATGAACATATGGCACAATATGAACACATACCACAGACGTAAACATAAATTACAGACGTGAACACATATCATAGATATGAACACATACCACACACATAAACACTTACCACAGGACATAAACCCATACCAAAGATATGAACACGTACCACACGCATAAACACATACAACAGGTAATAAAACCATACCACAGACATGAACACATATCACACACATGAGCACATACCAAAGGACATAAACACCTACCACAAAAATAGACACATACCTCAGAATATAAACTATTCCAATAAGACATGCACACAGTAAAATTTATACAAACACATACCAAGTACTATGAACACGGACGTTTCAGACTAATGGCCTAATGGATATTAAAACAATTTGAGTTTGCAACAGTCAGTTTTGTGTGTCACACTCACGGAGTAGTGTGACAGATCTCATGCACGAATAAAATATACATTTAACTGACAAAAGTTTGTTAAAAATACTTTTTTTTTAGAAATAAAGTAACATAAGCATGGATAGTTTAAAAAAAAAAAAAGTAGTTTAATGAAGCGGAAAGTATTTGGCTTTGCTTTCTAGATTAGGAAAACATATTCAGGGGAAAAAAATTAGGATTACTTTTCACGTTTTCAGACGTATCTGGCAAATGGGAAGAGTTCCCAAATTTTTACAGACCAATTGCCACTAGGCGGGTAATGTGGACACCATTACGCCAGCCATCTTTACTTAAGAGAAAATACATCCTTGTACCGATTTCAGGATGGGTCGACCTGCGTCGGGGAACAATACTTGGATGAAATAGATATTAATGACAAAGAAATACAATTGTGTAGTAATAATAATTTTAATAATACTAATAATAATAGAAATAATAATAATGAAAGTAATAATAATAATAATAATAATAATAAAATTAATAATAATAGTTTCTTTTTAATTAAAAAAAGGAACCTCCAGATATTTAATGCTGATGTATATGTCATGCGAAACTATGCTATCAATACTATAAGCCGTTTAAAGTCCTAGAAATATGGACACGTACATGAAAAACTGTTATGAAAGTTTGTATTTACTTGTTGTGTATTGCTTGTTGTGTATTGCTTCTAGTGTATTGCTTGTTGTGTATTTACTTGTTGTGTATTGCTTGTTGCCACTTCACCCACAATAACAATAATTTATTCCCTCTTTTAAGGCTGGAACCCAAGTGTCCCGCATGAGCACCCAACAACTTAGCTACTCAAAAATTTAGAGTATCTGAAGGAAACAAAACAATGACACAATTAATTCTCAAGAAAAATAATATGTCATGTGGGTAGTTGAAACAAAGGGATAGGCGAAATATTTCAGCCACATTTGAAGACAACACTCGAATGTGAATAATACTGAGTGCTAAACGTAAAGACATACAAGAAAAGTTCAGGCAGAAATACAAGCTAAATGATAACGTCGAAAGATAGACATCAATTCTGAATATACAGCCAGGACGATGGAGTCTGTTGCAGATTTGTTGCATCCAGCCTTGCATATGAAGAGGGTACCTCATTTGTGAACTAAATCCACTGAATGTACAAATGAAACAAATAAGGAGATAATCTTTAAAAGGAATACAGCTGGGTGCTAGATGATGTCCCAGGAGTCTTCACTTGCTGCCAGATGAACCTTGACCCGACTGAACACCAAACTTCTCTTCAACCAGTTTTCTCAACAGCTGCTTGTCCGGCTTGCCAGTTGGGGTCTCTGGGAAACTGCTGAACACCTAAGTTAAGGAGAAACATTTACAGTCTATAGACAAACACACAGTTTCTTCGTTATACAATAATTTAATATTGTAAGACATCTAGTAACACACAGTATTGCTTCTATGTCAGGCGCGCTGCCAGGGAAAAACATTGGGATGTGTGTGTGTGTGTTTGTGGGAAGGTGGGGGTCACCTTCCTCACCATAGATTTCGAATTTTCTCGGCAAACAAATACGGAGGTGGAAAGGGACCTTGAGCCCTGTCGCTAAATGATCAAAAGCACAGGGGGCAATGTGGGTGGGGGAGGGAAAAGGAGGGACTGAGCACTACAACCACACCCTACCCCCCCCCCCCCCTAATGAAAACATTGATATATTATAGGTTCATGTCCCCTCTTACCCAAGCCCTCGCTATCACATTACACATTTCCCAGGCAGATACTTAGAGGAGGAGGTTCTGACTACTCGCCCCTAAGCCCCCCCCCCCCCCCCCCAATTTAAATATTCTGCAAGAGAGCTAGGACCCCCCCCCCCCCTGTATGTTTACAACCATGTATATACATGATCTTTCAAAGTATTTGTTTATAGGATGCCATATTATTTCGGTTGGAAGATATTATTGATTTGCTATTCAGCATCTGATAATTATCGTTGCTTTGAAATGTTTCAACTGAAACTGTTCCCACAAAATTGCTGTACATGGTCCCGGGGATCTATTATTACCTTTGCACAATTAATGGGGGAGGGGGCATGGTGGGAAGGGGAGGAAGTAGCTGTGCCCCTCCTAAAATATTATATCAAGGACACAAACGACCACAAGTCCCTACCTCTCTCCCGCCCATGTCAGTTTTCGGCATTATATTGAACTCGACTGAGGCAACTCCGACGAACTAGTTAAGACACATTCTCACAGTTTTTTATGTCTATGTGTGTGTTTTTCATGTGTGTGCGTTTGTGTGTGTGTGTGGTGTCACATACCAGCCAAACACCCCCTATACTCATTGACTCACACACATATCCTGTTAACCCCCCCCCCCCCCCCCCCACATGGAAATTAACTAGTTTTAAATACAGAATCTTCTTTCATAAGGAAATAATCCTTCTTTGACAAGCATGGGTCAAGATGTCAGGAAAAGTACTTTGTTCGATACTAATTCTATGGGGCAGGAATTATATTGTGAATCCACTCACAGGTAAGTGGTTTTTACGAGTAGGGGAGCCTTTTTTTTCGTGGCGTCATTCTAGAAACAGCTTCCAGAGCCTGAGGACGGCCAAACGCCTTCTCTGTCAACTCTATCAGTATCTGTTATGAAAGTCTCAGTTTATCCCAGAAACTTCAAAAGAGTATGGGTAAGTAGTGCTTGAAAAAATAATAACTTAGTTCAGGTTTTTTGCCATACTGCTTGGAGTAAGACCCGTATAGCTGTGAGAAACGTGCTGAAATGCCTGCCTGTCAACTCTGACTGCAAGAACGCTCTTACCAGCATGTTTCACCTACATGCCGATGAAATATTTCCTTATATTCCGTGATGGCTCGTCCAGACAGCTTGCAGTTAATGTATGATTTTTCATATGACTTGATCATGTTTAGTTTATGTGTAGAAATATAACTGGGGAGGAAGGTTTTTAGATCTGTTGGTGACCTAGAAAGCTCCGTTCGGTTCGCCGCGAGATCAGTGCAAGTTTTCGAATTATCAATTAAGCTTCGGCCTCCGGCTTGTTAGCCATTGTAAACAACGACCACTTAGGTGGAAAAATGTTGTGATTTGTGTGTGTTGTATTTTTACGCTTTCCTACTTGAATATTGCTCTATCCTTAGTGTGCCTGTATTATTATATGTATTATATAATGGATAGGAAAAGGTCTATCTTTTTCTTTTGGTTGGCAAGCGCAGTCTACCGCTGTTGCCAGTGAAGAAGGACTATCTACCATTGCTGGCTAATTGACCCTTATAAAAAGAGTGACCAAGTCTATAGAGACCCAGCACTGTCACCTGTAGATGTATTGTGGATAAAGGGTAAACAAGGGCAGTGTTTAATTGTTTGCTAACCATTTTTGTTTCTATTGTGCTTGCAGGATATATACTGACTTCTCTGGGAGCTAGGTCAGGATCATAGTCCACTAGATCCAACTTGGTACAGTCATCACCCACCCAATAACCGTCACCAGTCAGCTACAAGCTACCACTGGTCTCCACCAGCATCCAGAAACATATGAATCATGTAAACCAGTCTCTTGGTAAACACTTAAAAAGGTGACTGTTGGTATCACACATGCCAGATGTCAGCTGATGCAAATTCATCTTCACCCAGTGCCACCAGCCCAAGATTAAATATATTTATATTTTGAAACTCTGTTCATTGAACTGTTTAAATTAAAGGGTATCTATCCCTATGATTAATTAACAATAACTACTTAACAAGACGAACATTGATTCGGTAATTCAAGAGATACATAGCCAATGATTACTTTGTTCAAGAACTGTTGCCTAACATTCTACTCAAACCTGTGATTGATGCATTTCTCAAAAATGGACAGTAGAGTAGCAAGAACATCACTGCGGATAAGTATTTTTTATGGTAACTTAAAAATGCAGCCACCCAGACACCGAGTGCCCAGTATTACCATTGACCTTATACTGAATCAGCGGCAGTGATGAGCACAACAGTATCTGTTAGCCAATCAGAAGTCATTCTTGACTAAGAAAGCTCTTTGATATTATCCAGTTCTTTAGATCATTCTTCAGTATCATTCCTTTGAGACTTTTTACTTATGTTGTAACTATTACATCATGCATTACTATTCTAAATATAAGTTGTTGGTGTCCAGTATTTCACAGTTCTCTTTAGCTAGTTATGTGTGAGTGTATTGTTCAATTTTTTAGATTTTATTAATACTGTGTGTGTGTGTGTATGAGTGTGACTATGATAGGATCCTATCTAGTCTGGGGGCTAACGAGTGATGAGGAAGTCCGAAAGGAAAGGAAGGGGGCGGGGGGGGGGGGAAGAGGAAGTTTTAAGCCAGTGCTTCATAATTATTCCTTTCTCGGTGTAGACGCCAAGAACAATAATGTTGGTCACTAAGTAACAGCAATCAATACATGTCACAGGAATTGATACACTATCGTGCATTGCTGAAAAGGAGACCATAGGGGACGCAGTCTGTTGCAAGTTTTATTTTTGTGTGTGTGTGTGTGTGTGTGCGTATTCTTTACAGGGCAATGCAGAACCAACCCCAACAGCCTCTGGCCGTTGTGTGGTTTTTCTAGGCAGATTTACCCCCAGTAGTTTGCCATTGCTTTCTGAATTGAACTAGGCATCCCAGCATTACGAAGTCTTCACATCGACGTAGCCACAGAGCCGACAGTTGCAAGTTACTAATACTTTAGATGGGGTTTTTAGGGGACGCAATCTGTTCCATACTACAAATACTTAAGATGAGGGTGTTAGGGGAGGCAATCTGTTCCATGCTACTAATACTTAAGATGAGGGTGTTAGGGGACGCAATCTGTTCCAAGCTACTAATACTTAAGATGAGGGTGTTAGGAAAGGCTATCTGTTCCAAGCTACTAATACTTAAGATAATGGTGTAAGGGGAGGCAATCTGTTCCAAGCTACTAATACTTAAGATTAGGGTGTTAGGAAAGGCTATCTGTTCCAAGCTACTAATACTTAAGATGAGGGTGTTAGGGGACGCAATCTGTTCCATGCTACTAATACTTGAGATGAGGGTGTTAGGGGAGGCAATCTGTTCCAAGCTACTAATACTTAAGATGAGGGTGTTAGGGAAGGCAATCTATTCCATGCTACTAATACTTAAGATGAGGGTGTTAGGAAAGGCTATCTGTTCCAAGCTACTAATACTTAAGATAATGGTGTAAGGGGAGGCAATCTGTTCCAAGCTACTAATACTTAAGATGAGGGTGTTAGGGGACGCAATCTGTTCCAAGCTACTAATACTTAAGATGAGGGTGTTAGGGAAGGCAATCTATTCCATGCTACTAATACTTAAGATTAGGGTGTTAGGAAAGGCTATCTGTTCCAAGCTACTAATACTTAAGATGAGGGTGTTAGGGGACGCAATCTGTTCCAAGCTACTAATACTTAAGATAAGGGTGTTAGAGGAGGCAATCTGTTCCAAGCTACTAATACTTAGAATGAGGGTGTTAGGGGAGGCAATTTAGTCCAAACTACTAATACTTAAAATAAGGATGTTAGGGGAGGCAATCCAATGTTTGTGGAAGTTAAATTTCACCCCACCAGAACCACGCACAACAAGCGATAAACACTCGGTGACACAAAGTGCCACCATTCAGAGGAAACTCACCCGGGTACAATTCCCAGAAGCGTTAGGCAATTTTTGGACCCCCGACGACAACCAGAGTTCGGCTGTTAATACCCCCCCCCCCCTTTTTTTTTTTAAATTAAATTCATCGAATTAATTGTATTCAAAATAATGGGATATTATTATATATTACTCACTTAATCTTAACGAGGGACTAAATTTTTCGTTATTTAAAAGCAGCACCCCGGCTCTAGTCGGGGGCCCTAATATAACCTAACAGTTGAACGGGGTTTCTGGAACTTCTCCCCGGGTAATCCTCATAAGAATTGTGACACTTCCTGTCACCTGGTGTAGATCGCGAGTTGTAATGTCCTGGTTCAGTTGAATTACATACATACAGGTTAGAAAGTGCTACCCTAATTTTTTCGACTACATCTCCTCTGCTTCGAGACTTCGATATAGGTAGGTAGGTTATACCCCACCAGAACATCACACAAGCGATATTCACGAGGTGACACAAGGTGCCATCACGTGGATGAAGATCACTGGGGGAAATTCTAGAAACCCCGTTTAACCGTTAGGTTATATTTGGGGCCCCAAAAGCCAGGAAGGGGCTTCTCAATAACTAAAAAAACTGCATCCCACATGGGGGACGAAAACATTTCCTAAGGAATTCCTATTGATCCTTTAGGGCTTCCTTGGTCAGTACCATATTATAGGGGAGGAGGGTGTCAGAGACCTACATTAGGGTCAGTGTTCAATGGATTGCGACTACTACTACGCCTAACCCTAACCCCCTATGGCCGCTATAGTAAAACCATAGATTGCGTGCCCTGAGGTTGCCGTTTTTAGGTTTGAACAATATCTAAACACGACTGATCTTAGTTTACATTTGATCCTTTGCTTCTGTTGGACTGGGGAAAAACGTGTGAGAACCATGTCATATTGCAAGCAGTCGCCGAAAAAAAAAAAAACACGTTAAATGTTAAAAACAAGAGTAAAATAGAAACGAGCAGCAGTACCATAAAATACTTGGGTATTGGTGTCTGCTCGCTGGCCAAGTCTGAGATAAAGAAACTTTCACAGTAGGACTTCAGCTGTTCTTCTGTCACGTTACTTCCGCTGACTGTTGTTACACATGCGCAGATCTCATGATGCACCACAGGGTCAGATACCTAAAATACACATCTTTTGTTCTCATATCTATTTACACAAGGGGAAGGAAGGTAAGGAAGGGAGATAGATAGATAGATAGATAGATAGATAGATAGATAGATAGATAGATAGATAGATAGATAGATAGATAGATAGATAGATAGATAGATAGATAGATAGATAGATAGATAGATAGATAGATAGATAGATAGATAGATAGATAGATAGATAGATAGATAGATAGATAGATAGATAGATAGATAGATAGATAGATAGATAGATAGATATAGATAGATAGATAGATAGATAGATAGATAGATAGATAGATAGATAGATAGATAGATAGATAGATAGATAGATAGATAGATAGATAGATAGATAGATAGATAGATAGATAGATAGATAGATAGATAGATAGATAGATAGATAGATAGATAGATAGATAGATAGATAGATAGATAGATAGATAGATAGATAGATAGATAGATAGATAGATAGATAGATAGATAGATAGATAGATAGATAGATAGATAGATAGATAGATAGATAGATAGATAGATAGATAGATAGATAGATAGATAGATAGATAGATAGATAGATAGATAGATAGATAGATAGATAGATAGATAGATAGATAGATAGATAGATAGATAGATAGATAGATAGATAGATAGATAGATAGATAGATAGATAGATAGATAGATAGATAGATAGATAGATAGATAGATAGATAGATAGATAGATAGATAGATAGATAGATAGATAGATAGATAGATAGATAGATAGATAGATAGATAGATAGATAGATAGATAGATAGATAGATAGATAGATAGATAGATAGATAGATAGATAGATAGATAGATAGATAGATAGATAGATAGATAGATAGATAGATAGATAGATAGATAGATAGATAGATAGATAGATAGATAGATAGATAGATAGATAGATAGATAGATAGATAGATAGATAGATAGATAGATAGATAGATAGATAGATAGATAGATAGATAGATAGATAGATAGATTAGATAGATAGATAGATAGATAGATAGATACGATAGATGGATAGCAAGATTGAGAGACCGATTTAAGAACATGTCATAAGTATGCACTTGCACACACACACATGCACACACACACACACACACACACACACACACACACACACACACACACACTATGAAAAATGTATGAAGATCTATCTTGCATTCTCTACACATTTCTAGGGTGGTTCTCACATTGACAATATGGTCTCTATTTCCTCTGCCCTATCTAAAACCCGCTTGTGCTTTTTATAATTCATATTCCAATTTATTCTCAATCGTCCCCAAGATGATCTGCCTAAAGATTTAGCTATCGTGACTAATAAGAGCTATATTACAATAATTGTTACATAATTTGATTTTTTTTTTCTAACAGGAACAAAAACTGATCTCTTTCATACTGTGAGCCAGTCAGCACTGTTCCAGAGTTTCACACATAGTCCATGGTATAGAATAACGGTCGCTTCTCCTCCAACATGAAATAACTCTGCTGGTATGTCGTCACATCCTAGAGACTTGCCTGATTTAAGGTTCTTTAGTGCCATTGTTACTTTCTCTCTTACTCATTTTGTCCTTGAATTCACCCGCACTATCTAGCATGTTTTTCGAAAATAGCAGGCCTATTTTCCAAATGATCTAGTTAATAATATTTATCAATTCCACACCACAGTAATCGTGACATTTCTAAAAACGCCCAGTGCCAACCACTCTACGGTCATCTTTCGCTTCATCTGACTCTAAGACCGTGACTGGCTTTTCCACAATGCTCATCTTCTCTCAGAGTGCGGCAGCCACATGGATCCTGCTATGCATCAGTTCCCCAGCTTTAAGTACAGAGGCAGCTGTCCACATGTGTGTCTCTGAACACATCAGCGTGATCTGAATAAAATATCCAACGAGAGCTATAAAGCACCGAGCTCTTTAGCGAAGCTTGTCACTCCACTCAAAGAATGTACAAAATATTCCTAACATTTCCTCATTTCCCTTTCTCTGTCTCCTTCCTTTGCCTGTCTCTCCCCATTGGTGCAGTATTCATCTACCGGAGCCATGCAGTGATATCGTATGCTTACCTTTACAGCTGGCACCATGTCTGTTACATCTTATTCGTCCATGTTTCTAACTACATGTGCCGTGTATATTGTGGTCTTTTAAACATTTCTCTTGCTCTGTTGGTTCCACCACAAAACCCTTCTGGTATTTTTATTTGTTGTCAGTTATTGAATTTTTCCTCATGTAAACTAAAATCAAAAGGTGCTTTAAACGAGAGGATCGATTTCATGTACAGGGATGAATTTAGTGTGGCTCGGTATTTTCTACTTCAGCAACGACATAAACAGATCCCAAAAATGTACGCGCAAACCAAAAAACAAAGCCTGAAAGAAACCCACAACTCTCAGAATAGATGGCAATCAGCTAAACCACTCGGCCACGGAGACCACAGCAACTAAAACCCATGCCTAGTGAAATCTTGAGTATAATCGTTGTGTCTGTGTAGACAGTGAAACGACAAGCAAGTCAACTACACACCAGGACTTACAGGCAAGACGACAGCTTCAGCCACGTCAGGATGTTGGAGGATTTTCGCCTCCAGCCACCCCGGGTACAGAACCACAGTTCCGTACATGATCGTATCTTTGTTCCTGCCCAGGACATAGAAGTTGCCTTCTTCATCCCAAAAGCCGAGATCCTCCGTGTTGAACCATCCGTCCTTGGTGAAACATTTGACAGTGTTCGGATCTGGGTCCTCTAAAAGGTTAAAGTAACCAGAAAATATGTTCCCACCTGCAACGGCATTCACACATTTTAGCTGAGGTACAACACAAGGAACATAATGAAGTAGTTAGTGTTTCTCACGCTTCTGTGCCCACCTGCAACGGCATTCACACATTTTAGCTGAGGTACAACATAAGGAACATAAGGAAGTAGTTAGTGTTTCTCACGCTTCTGTTTCCCACCTGCAACGGCTTTCACACATTTTAGCTGAGGTACAACATAAGGAACATAAGGAAGTAGTTAGTGTTTCTCATGCTTCTGTTCCCACTTGTGTTGTGTTTGCAGCTAAGCTGCGAGATCTGTGCTTCTACATCTAACATACGTTTCACTGCAATATATCATTTTGTTGTAAAAGTGTGTGTGTATATATATATATATATATATATATATATATATATATATATATATATATATATATATACGAACTATCTACATCTGCACACAGCCAAAGAGCCAAAGAGATATCAAAGCAGAGCCAGGAGGAGACGCAAGGTAAATGGACACACTAAGGGTGCAGTAAACCGACAGGGATATGTTGCAGCCAAGGCCACTTCCCTAGCCTTGTATCAAAGGTTTTTTTGTCTTCTTACTAGGTGTTACTGCAAGTGTGGACACAATAATACACTCAAGGAGTAGACAATAAATAGGACGTGCAGACAGACAGGCAGAAAAACAGACAGTCAGTAAGACAGACAGACAGACAGACAGACAGACAGACAGACAGACAGACAGACAGACAGACAGACAGACAGACAGACAGACAGACAGACAGACAGACAGACAGACAGACAGACAGACAGACAGACAGACAGACAGACAGACAGATACGTTCGCACCTTTAGCCAGGAGAGTCCCAGTCTGCCGTGGCGGGCACTTGTCTCCATTGTCGTCAATGATCTTCAGCTCTACCCCAGGACATGGTTTGCCGCAGAAGAAGTCCTCAGCGTTGGCATCTACAGTATAATATATTTGTCAATAAATCAAACATTGGCACAGGTTCTACGTGGCGCTCAATGATTCATCTCCTATGTATTCAGTAATATCTTTTATTGTTTAATGGAAAACGCCTTAAACTATAACTAAGTTTAAGAAATGCGTTTATTGTGCTAATTATTACAATGTTAACACACGATCAGTAATTTTTTTTTCAACTATTGATTTAGAAAATCTTTCTTTCTTCTTATATTAATAAAAATCTTAATTTTCCGATGTCGTTAGCTCAAAACTCGGAAACTACTGAGCCGATTGCTTTCAAATTTGCACACATCGTTGCCTGTGACTCCAAACGTAAATATATGTCATAATTTCGCGCAAACCAAGAACGATGTAGCTCCAGCAACCGTCAAATCATTATTTGTTTAGTTGCCCGCCCGGATTTATTTTAAAGGAATCGGCCACCTTAGACTGCTGAGCAGGGCTGGCAATAGATGCCTTTCCCCTATGAACCAGATATTTTAATGACGCTTTGGGTTCAGATTTTGCTGCGTTGTTTACTTTGTTGTTTTCATATATTTTTTATATATCATTACATACCTGGGTACAGTGTTCCTGTACACAGTATAAATTTTATACTTTTTTTTCAATCTTAGCTTTTTTTTTTCTTTTGTTGGTCGTGTCCCTTTCATTTTGCTGACGTTTTTGCTTGGGTTATTTAGCTTGGGTTTTACCACACATCCTGTTGGCAGCCCCGTTGTTGTAGACGATCTCACACATCTTCGCCAATCTGCCGACTGCCGACACGTCTCATACTAATTCTCTCACATTGTCGCACAATGTTACATTCAAATACGCTCGCATTATTATAAAGCAGTGTCGCAGCAAGCACGGGTGAAGTAGCTGTCATTTGGTGAGTAAACTGTGTGTTTCCCCAATTTTTTGTTCTTCATTGTTCTGTCTATTCAATATTATATTACTTTTGTGCATTGCACATGGCGGCGGAATTCAACTGTCTTGATTGATCTGAGTTCGTTATGCACACGACCGGTTCCTGGCTGAGTATTTGGAAATCCATATCGTGACTGTACTGTATTTGTTTCATTGTCTAGCGTTTCGCTGTTGTTTTCTGTTACTTGTTCCAATTTCACCCCGTTTACTGTGATATTCATTGTTAGCTAATTATTTTCTTTGCTAAATATCATGGTTTTTGTCTTTTTCAAATTTATATCTAATCCAAATTCTGCACTCCTTCTGTTTACTTGCTCCACTAGGTCTTGCAACTCCTGCTCACTCTCTGCGAGCAACACTGTGTCGTCAGCATATATCTCAGATTGTTTATTATTTTACCATAACATACATCCCTACAAATGACCAATATAAAATAATCGGTCTAACATTGAAAATAAAAATATGAAAATTTTTCTGTAGTGACCCCTAATGGTACCCCATTCCAAGAATTGGAGTCGTACACCTATTTGGGCAGTGATGTAGATAAAGATGGAGGAACTGATAGAGATATTTAAAAAAAAAAAAAAGCATACAAAGGCAAGAGGAGCTTTCATAGCACTAGGGAAGTTTTGGAGGTCAAAAGAAATTAAAAGAAATACTAAACTAAACATTTTTAATTCTAATGTCAAATCAGTACTATTGTATGGGGCGGAAACATAGAGAACAACCAAGGCAATTATTAATAAATTATAAACATTCATTAACTGGTGCCTGTGCAGAATAAATGGATTTTAATGGTATGACAGAATAACTAATATAGAGATTTGGGAAAGCACTAAACAGGCTCCAGTGGACCAAGAGGTGATGAAAAAAAGCGGGCGTTGGATAGGACAAACACTGCGAAAACAGGACAACAGCATAACTAGAATGTCTTTGCATTGGAATCCACAGGGCTTAGGAATAAAGGAAGGCCCCCCCCCCCCAAAAAAAAAAACACATAGAGACGAGAGCTGGAGAATGAAGTTAGAAAGAGATGGTGAGGACACGGGGAGAGCTCCATGTAATAGCGAAGGATAGAATGACTTGGCGTGAGTTGGCTAAGGGACATAGATCAAGGAGATACATAACTGAATGAGAGTAGAAACTATAAACAAATCAAGGAGATACATACCTTAATGATATTAGAGACGATACATAGATGAAGGAGATACATCACTGAATGTGATTAGAGACGATACAGAGATCAAGGAGACACATAACTGAATGAGAGTAGAAACGATACATAGATAACGGATATACTTAACTAAATGAGAGTTAAAACTATACACAAATCAAGGAGATACATAATGAATGAAATTAGAAACGATTCATAGATCAAGTAGATGTATAATGAATGAGTATAGAAAACAATAAATAGATGAAGGAGATACATAACTGAATGAGAGTAGAAACGATACACCGATCACATGGATGCGTACTGAATATTAGTAGAGATACATAATTGAGTGAAACAACAAGGACCGGCAATTATTTGATAGAATAAGAACATAAGTAATTCACAGAGAAGGTAACACTAGGAGTGCGACCAGAAGAAATACGGCAAAACATGAACAGACGGCCAGAGGCACTGACCCCAAGAAAATACTGTCGGCAAGAAAAGGGTTTCTTATCCCAGTATGACTATATAATAATAGTAGTAATAATATTGCAAATAATACTGTGATTATTGAAAAACGTTTTACTATGTTTAAAATGCTTTGTGATTATTAGCGTACACACACACACACACACACACACACACACACACACACACACACACACAAACACACACACACGGAGTTGAATACATCTTATAAGGCTTTATTCCTCTTCCTATTTCTAGCCGCCCCAGGTACATATGGCAGTCCTTTTCAGGGCTGCCATTTCCAATCTCAAAAACTGGAAACCGCCCGCCAAGCCTATGCCGCTGACATGATGATGCAAATAAATCTAAACGAACTAAACTAAGACAGCAAAGAAACCGTCCTTGAAAAAGCAGGCCTTCGTGCGGCTAACAAAGGACTAAGTTTGACTTTTTTTGTTTTCTTTACAACCAACCAATCCAATTTCTAGCACTGGGGGAGGAGCGATTAGAATAGACATTCGAGCTTGGGCGCTCCTGTTTGATGGTTAAGAGAACATGTACAGTCAAGAGAGAATTTACCTTCAACAAATGCCTTGGATAAGTAATGAGCTTCTGTACATCCGTAACCAAGTACAACAGCTTCAGCGATAGCCAGGTCACTGGACACCTGCGACTGGAATCATTGACTAGTAATTAACACATATCGTACTGCCTCATACGGATTAACACACGGGCCTGCTGGAGTAAAAGGTAACAAAAGAGCCGATCCACTGGCAAGTTTTAAAACACTGAATAAGGAAAAATGTATGTACAGAGCAGATACTGTCAACACTGTGCGGACCAGACTTGCATAGTAACAAATCTCTGACACAAAACGATTGCATGACTCGGAGTAGAGCCTGGTGAAGCAAATTGTGGCAGTCTTTGACGTCAAGATAAGGGACATTGTAACCGGCCTCTCGTGGAAACAGACACAAATACACACACACACACACACACACACACACACACACACACACACACACACACAAACACCAAGGGGGCTACGTGGTGTCGAGGCATAGTTTCCGCCTGGAGTGCTAGAGGGATGGGATTTGTTACCGTGGACTCGGACTTCTAGTAATTTCCCTTGGTTTCTGGGTTGTGAGATCGGAAGCCCGTGTCATTGTTGCACACATTAAAAAATCCCTTGGCAGTTCAAAATCTAAAAGAGTAGCCTAACGGTGCTGCCTGTAAAAAATTTAGAGTTACAAATCTACTCAAAGTGTTTCAGAATCCTTGCCGATGCTACAGGACCTGTGGACTGTGCAGAGCTTCTTCGGGCTCAGAATTGAATTATAGAAAGAACGGAGCACTTATGGGTTACTACCCGTGTACTGTGATGTCTATCTGTTGTTTAAACCTCATCAGACACACACACACACACACAGAGAGAGAGAGAGAGAGAGAGAGAGAGAGAGAGAGAGAGAGAGAGAGAGAATGGACAAGCATAGGCGGCTATTTACTTTCCTGATGGGTATTTACCATACATTCTATTTGCAAGGATTAAAGTCAGATTTGACTCAGGCGATAACTTGACATATTTTTCGGTTTCGCATTTAATTCCTGCTAGGCTGTCATGTTTGTTTACTCTGTTCAGCCAGTGTTTTGTTGTTATTTTTTTTAACCAGAGATATAGAAAGATGTACGTGTAAGGTAGTGGCGAGGCGTGATCACTTCGCATATGTAGGCGTCAGATTGCAGTGATGACAATGGAAAGAGCATAACTACTGAGAGTACGTGCACAGCTAGCATCCTAGATTTGTAAAGTCAACAGTAATCGAAAGAAATTGTAAAATAATACATTTGACATTGACAATGGTAATTCAAAGCTGCAATTACAGCCATATCATTTCCGCCTCGCCACCGGAAACATAGACACACGGCATAGGAAACTCCCATACAACCTCGCCACCGGAAACATAGACACACGACAGAGGAAACTCCCATACAGCCTCGCCACCGGGAACATAGACACACGACATAGGAAACTACCATACAACCTCGCCACCGGGGACATAGACACACGGCATAGGAAACTCCCATACAGCCTCGCCACCGGGGACATAGACACACGGCATAGGAAACTCCCATACAACCTCGCCACCGGGAACATAGACACACGACATAGGAAACTCCCATACAGCCTCGCCACCGGGAACATAGACACACGACATAGGAAACTACCATACAGCCTCGCGACGGGAACATAGACACACGACATAGGAAACTCCCATACAGCCTCGCCACCGGGAACATAGACACACGGCATAGGAAACTCCCATACAACCTCGCCACCGGGAACATAGACACACGACATAGGAAACTCCCATACAACCTCGCCACCGGGAACATAGACACACGGCATAGGAAACTCCCATACAACCTCGCCACCGGGGACATAGACACACGGCATAGGAAACTCCCATACAACCTCGCCACCGGGGACATAGACACACGACATAGGAAACTCCCATACAGCCTCGCCACCGGGGACATAGACACACGACATAGGAAACTCCCATACAACCTCGCCACCGGGGACATAGACACACAACATAGGAAACTCCCATACAGCCTCGCCACCGGGAACATAGACACACGACATAGGAAACTCCCATACAACCTCGCCACCGGGAACATAGACACACGACATAGGAAACTCCCATACAGCCTCGCCACCAGAGACATAGTCTGGTAGTCTGGTAGTCTTAGTTTCAGCTTCATAGCAAACGGGTCACCCCATCTTTGCTCCGCTTCTGTGCCAACGAAAAACACACAGAATGTTTATCACAGTATTAGAAATTGCAGTTCATAATTGTTCAGGGTCACGCCATGCATTCAACTCAGAAGCTGGGCGACGAAACTATACCCAGTCTACAAATGGAGCAAAAATACATCGGCCACCGTCCGGCAGAAGCAAAAAAATTTGCCTCTGTTTCGAACAGTGCCGCTGCCTAACGACATAGACACACGACATAGGAAACTCCAATACAGCTATCCTCTGTTTAATTCTTTATATGATTACCTATCAGTTTTTGCCTTTTAATGATACCCAATTAACTCTAGTGTTGTACCTGTGTTACAGGCTGTCCAGACGTCATCAACGTCTTCAACTTGTAGTCTGAGCCACCGATACTGTCCAGGTACTTCACCACGCGCTCTACGTCGATTTGCCGACAGTTCGCTGATGTACACTTTTCTTTACAAATAGCCGTCCATATTTCCTTGCCTGTCTTCCTCCCGTGTCGGTTGTACCAGTCCAACATAACTCTCTTCTCTCCAATACAGTACACAGTGAATGGATAGCCTCCTAACCAACCTGGCAGGAAGATAAGAAAACAACCAATCAGACGCCGTCTTCAAAACGGAAGTTGGCTTCAGACTGTTCAATTAAAAAAAGACACAAATAAAACCGTATATTTACAAAAAAGAACATCAACATTATTGTCCTTGTTGTGCCACTCTATGGCACTTAGGGCTCGCTGTCTATTCCTCTGTTCCGCTCTTCACTGTGCCAATATCATTGGCGAAATCCAGTTCTTTGACCTAACTGTTCATACTAGTGATTGCAGATACATTTCTTTCATTTCTTCACTCCTCTTGAATTAATCGCATTTTATGTTCAACATTTTCTTAAGGCAGTTGTTTTCGAATGCATTAAACTTTCGTTTCTCAACGTTAGTGGTTTTCCAACGTTTACTGTCACACGTTTAAAAAAAACTGAAATAACATTAGTATTGAAAATACAAAACCTGGTTTTAAAAAAGACAGAATTTTGAGTTCTAGATTTTGTTGAAAGCTGCCGATGTATGCCATAGTTTCTATCCTTGTTTCTTCTTAACTATCAACATTATTATTTAAAAAAAGTAAATAGATATGTAACACTAATTCTTTATCTCTATCTCTAGTCATACTTATGCTTGATCTGTTTATGGTGACTTTAATATATTTGTCACTGCATTATTTTTTTTTTATCCTCATCATCAGAGTTTATTGGGTAACGTGGACTCATCATCATCCTCATCAGGTGCCTTGCCGACTGGCGTGGGCGATCATGCCTCTGCATAATCTGCAATCTCCTGCAGCATGTATCAGTTCGTGTGCCGACACACCTCCATGCCATGCAACAAGACTGTCAAGCATCTTCTCTTGTTGTCTTCCTCTATCTCTCCTTCCACAGATCTTTCCAGTGGTCACAACATGTTCTATTTTCCCTCTTCTCATAACATGGCAGAAAAATGATGACTATCTCCTTCTTATGTCTGTGATAAGTTGTCTTCGGGCTCTCGCCTCTTTCAAAAAATCTTGGCTGCTCTTTTTGGCTGTCCAAGGTATTCTAAGCATTCTTCTGTAAAACCACATCTCTGAGGCCTCTAGAAATTGTTTAGCCTGCCTACCGATTGTCCAGGATTCACAGCCAAATGTTAAAACTGGATGTATGTAGCAAGCAAGAATTCTTTTTCTAAGTGGACTAGGTCTATGTAATATTTCTTAGAAGTGTTCTCCCCATCTCTTCTCCTGTTCAGTATCGAAGAGCAGCAGTGTTCAACTTGTAACTGGACCAACCCGAAATTTAAAAGTACTAGCCAACTATTTCTGTGTATTGTTTAGTATTTGACTGTTACCACTCTTAGCTGTCTGCTCTATATCTTTAGCTAACATATCCACATGTGCTCTCTTATCTCGCTTTGTTCAACTTTTTATTTGTTTATCCTTCTTGTTGCAATCCCCTTTACCCCCGATGTCATGTTTCGTTTGATTTATCACTGCATTCAGCAAGCATCCGTAGTTTTCTTTCCCGAATACACTGCAATGTCTTATTACTTATCCATGGTGTTCTATCCTGCTTCTTTAGTTCTGCACTACTCGTTACTGCTTGCCAAATTGTGGCCTTTTCATCATTCAAGGTATCATCAATGCTCTGATCTTCCTCTCTTCAAGTGCTTCAAATGTATTTTAAACTCAAGCTGCAACACTTGTTTTATATTTCCAAGCCCTTGACCGTCTTTTCTTTGTTGCTCATCTTTTTTTCCAGCTACTTTTAATTTAAGCTTGAGTTTTCCTAGATCTGAGATTTGGTCAGACCACGTCTGCTCCTCTGTATGCCCCGGCCTCTATCAAAGAGCTTCCTTGTATATTGTTTTTAAAGAGGTAATCTTGGAAAAAATGGCGGGGGGGGGGGGTGAGCGCTGTGTGGTCAAGGGGCATGGTGTCCACCTCGGGTGCTGGAGGTTCCGGATTTAATCCCCGGTAAGGGCTGGGATTTCTTTAATGCGGACCTCTAGTAATTCCTTTTTATCTCTGGGTAGTGAGATCGAAAGCCCGTGTAAATTAATGCGCACATAAAACATCTCTTGGCAGTTGGAAATCGAAGTCTAAGAACGCTGCCCAGGCACAATTTGGAGTTAAAAATCTACCTAAAGTATTTCAGAATCCACGCCAGTGCTATAGAGCCTGGGCACTGTGCTGAGCCTTTTCAGACTCAGACTTGAGTTAGATGAAAAACGAAGCACTTTTGGATTATTACCCGTGTGACATGATCTTGATCCGTTGTTTAAACCTCAAACAGAAGAGATCTATCTGATTCTCAGTCACTCAGACTGGTGTGTGCCATGTTAGTTTATGAATCTCCTTACGGGCAAAGATAGTGCTAGATCTGTCTGCATACCGAGTTCAGCTAGTCGATCTCCATTTGCATTTATTGTGTTAACTCATGTCTGTCCCATTGCTCTCTCAACACGCACTTTTTTACTTGTTACTTGTGCATGAAAATATACCATTAGTAGCAATTGGTCATGTTTAGCAATTTTATTCAATTTGTGTTGCAGCTGGTTACACAAGATATCTTTATTCTCTGTCTTAGCCTCATTGATTGGGGCCTAACTTTAAATGACGGTCATGTCATTTGATTATGTTTAGGACTAATTCTGAAACAGGTTATTCTGCTTAAAATCAGCTGCCATTTTGCAGCTCTGGGTCTCATAATGCCTACTCCTTTCATATGTTGTCCATCTTCTTTCCCCGAGAACATACGGATTGTTCCACTGACCGCTCTCTTTTTTGCTACTGGCCACCTAACTTCACCTAATCCTAAAATAGATCGTTGCGATCTCATTATTTCTCTTGCTATCTGGGCGAATTTCGTAGCCTCTGCCGCCATCGGAACATTCCGAAAACCTATTCTGATGAAATGTTGACTTGTGTGCATGTCTGGTCCCTGACTTCTGCAGAAAGGGTTTGCATCCGAAACTGTTTTACGTGCACTCTGTGCACCCAACGCCAATTGACTCGTATGTTTACCGAAATAGAATTCTTTCTGCAGATCTATGTAGCAAACAATTTTATGCGTGCTGGGGTAGCATCATTTAAAAATAATTTTGACATTCAACTTCTTAGTAATTTTATGAGTGATAGTTTTTTTTAGGTGCATTTTTAAATTACTATTGTGTTTATTCGTGAATTTTTATCGTAATATAGGGCGTCGCAGGTCGACCAAGCCTAAAATGGATACCAGGATGGGCTGTCCTGGGAAAGTAAAGACAGCCGGCGTAATGCTGACCACATTACCCACATAGTGCTGATAGTCTGAAAAAATATTGACTCTCTTCCGATATACCGGATACGACTAAAGGCGTGAAAAAGCTTCTGTTTTACTTGTTTTATTGTATTTATGATGTTGAAACATTTCAGTTAAAAAAAAAGGCACCCTTTTCCACGCCTTTAGGTGTATAGGGCATATAGGGCTAGACCTATATTTTTATAGACCAATCGGCACAAGATGGGTGATGTCATTTCAATGAGTCGGATGTGTAGCTTCCGGACCTTTATTTTGCGGGAGGGAGTGCTCAGACCCACTGCCAACCTGTAACAAGCATGTCGTAAAAGTAATGAGGGTTTTCCATTTCAAAATGGAAGTGCATTTCCTTGTAGGCGAGTCTGCACACAAATAAGCCAGATCTAAAAAAAAAAAAAACGACTGTGCATGCAAAACTAAAGTCCTTGAACAAGACCGTCCTTCAGAAGTAGACCAACAGTGAAAACGATATTTTTGGAGCTCACAGACAGTAAATACAAAGAATAAGAAGAATGAAGAACGGTTTATTTGACGAGACAGGGCAACTTAATCCCAGACAATATACAATTTCAAAAACACACAGACACACAAACACACAAACACACACAGACACACACAAACACAGACACACAGAGACACAGACTCACACAGACACAGACTCACACAGACACAGACACACAAACACACAAACATACACAGACACACACAGACACACACACACAGACACACACAGACACAGACTCACACAGACACAGACACACAAACACACAAACACACAAACACACACACACAGACACACACAAACACTAACGCACTGTAATCTTCAGATAATCTAAAATGGAATAAAGGTAGCGGTTGATGATGGAGCCTAACAGTGGCAGTGACTATCATAACATCATCCACACAGCACTTTTTATCACATCATCCACACAGTACTTGTTATCACATCATCCACACAGCACTTTTTATCACATCATCCACACAGCACTTTTTATCACATCATCCACACAGTACTTTTCATCACATCATCCACACAGTATTTTTCATCACATCATCCACACAGTACTTTTCATCACATCATCCACACAGTACTTTCTAGCCCGTTCATAGGCTGGGCAGAACATGCAATGGAAGAGAAGACTGGCGGATAAGTAGGAGCTACAGGAAAGGGAGGAGGTTGATTAAAAAAGTATTGAAGAAGAAGAAGAAGAAAGAGGAAGAAGAAGAAGAAGAAGAAGAAGAAGAAGAAGAAGAAGAAGAAGAAGAAGAAGAAGAAGAAGAAGAAGAAGAAGAAGAAGAAGAAGAAGAAGAAGAAGAAGAAGAAGAAGAAGAAGAAGAAGAAGAAGAAGAAGAAGAAGAAGAAGAAGAAGAAGAAGAAGAAGAAGAAGAAGAAGAAGAAGAAGAAGAAGAAGAAGAAGAAGAAGAAGAAGAAGAAGAAGAAGAAGAAGAAGAAGAAGAAGAAGAAAAAAAAAGAAGAAAGAAGAAGAAGAAGAAGAAGAAGAAGAAGAAGAAGAAGAAGAAGAAGAAGAAGAAGAAGAAGAAGAAGAAGAAGAAGAAGAAGAAGAAGAAGAAGAAGAAGAAGAAGAAGAAGAAGAAGAAAAAGAAGACGAAGAAGAAAAGCAAGAAAAATGTGACCAATAGCAAAAAAAGGAAGAGGAGGAGGAATTATAATTATAATAGTTGTTATATATATAGTTGTTTACGGAACTTCCCTCAGATACTTACCTAGGCTACGATCACAATATTGAACACTGGGGACTTTGGCAATCTCATAACTAAAGGCCAGTTCAACAATCTCGGCTTGCGTTCGAGGCACCAGCTTGCAGTAACCAGTGCTGCCCGATGTAGTAAACACATAGAGAATGTCTTGGGGACTCACTGAAGGATCAATGAAGATTTCTTCAGCGCTGTCCTCTAGTTCTTCAAGAAATGGCTTCCGAAAGCTGGCAAAGTAAATGAAACCATTCAGTTTGAATTAATAAAAACAAAATAATTTTAGTAAAAATTACTCAAATTTCACACAAGAATACCTTAGGGTTCTACCAATCTAACACCCCCCCCCCCCCTTTCTTCCCCCTTTTTTGTGTGTGCATCTGATTTACGACAGTTTCAAAGCTTAGGCCTTTTCCGTATTTTCGCTGCAGCCACTGGCCGTTACAAATACTGTTGGCTATCCACCGAATAATGGGCACAAACGATGGTGGCTACAAAAACACCCTAACAGAGCCTCAGTCACGTGTCACTAGCCCACTTCCGGCGACTTAATTTGCGTATTGAGAGAGCAATGTGAAAGACAGGAGTTAACACAATAAATGAAAATGGAGATCGACTAGCTGAACTCGGTATGCAGACAATTCTAGCACTATCTTTGCCCTTAAGGAGATTCATAAACTAACCCGGAACACACCAGTCTGAGTGACTGAGAATCAGATAGATCACCTCTGTTTGAGGTTTGAACAACGGATCAACATCATGTCACACGGGTAGTAATCCAAAAGTGGTTCGCTATTCTTCTAACTCAAGTCTGAGTCTGAAGAGGCTCAGCACTGGCGTGAATCGCTTTATCATGGCAAACAGTTAGTAGAGGTACTTTCTAGCAGCTGCTGTATCATGGCAAACAGTTAATAGAGGTACTTGTAGCGACTGCTGTATCATAGCAAACAGTTAGTAGAGGTACTCTCTTGCAGCTGCTGTATCAAGGCATACAGTTAGTAGTAGTACTTTGTAGCGGCTGCTGTATCTTGACAAACATTTAGTAGAGGTGCGTCGTAGCGGCTGCTGTATCACGGCAAACAGTAAGTAGATGTACTTTGTAGCGGCTGCTGTATCATAGCAAACATTTAGTAGACGTACATTCTAGCAGCTGCTGTATCATGGCAAACATTTAGTAGACGTACATTCTAGCAGCTGCTGTATCATGACAAACAGTTAGTAGAGGTACTTTGTAGCGGCTGCTGTATCATAGCAAACATTTAGTAGACGTACATTCTGGCAGCTGCTGTATCATGACAAACAGTTAGTAGAGGTACTTTGTAGCGGCTGCTGTATCATAGCAAACATTTAGTAGACGTACATTCTAGCAGCTGCTGTATCATGACAAACAGTTAGTAGAGGTACTTTCTAGCAGATGATGTATCATGGCAAACAGTTAGTAGAGGTACTTGTAGCGGCTGCTGTATCATAGCAAACAGTAGAGGTACACTCTTGCAGCTGCTGTATCATGGTATACAGTTAGTAGAAGTACTTTGTAGCGGCTGCTGTATCATAGCAAACATTCAGTAGAGGTGAGTTGTAGCGGCTACTGTATCATGGCAAACAGTAAGTAGATGTACTTTGTATCGGCTGCTGTATCATGGCAAACAGTTAGTAGAGGTATGTTGTAGCGGCTGCTGTATCATAGCAAACAGTTAGTAGATGTGCTTTGTAGCAGCTGCTGTATCATGGCAAACAGTTAGTAGAGGTACTTTGTAGCGGCTGCTGTATCATAGCAAACAGTTAGTAGATGTACTTTGTAGCAGTTGCTGTATCATGGCAAACAGTTAGTAGAGGAATGTTGTAGCGGCTGCTGTATCATAGCAAACAGTTAGTAGATGTACTTTGTAGCAGCTGCTGTATCATGGCAAGCAGTTAGTAGAGGTACTTTGTAGCGGCTGCTGAATCATGGCTAACAGTTAGTAGAGGTACCTTGTAGCGGCTGCTGTATCATGGCAAACAGACAGTAAGTGTACTTGTAGCGGCTGCTGTACCATGGCGAACAGTACAGGTACTTGTAGCAGCTGCTGTATCATGGCAAACAGTTAGTGTAGGTAATTGTAGCGGCTGCTGTACCATGGCAAACAGTCAGTAGAGGTACTTGTAGCGGCTGCTGTATCATAGCAAACAGTCAGTAGAGGTACTTGTAGCGGCTGCTGTATCATGGCAAACAGTTAGTGTAGGTACTTGTAGCGGCTGCTGTACCATGGCAAACAGTCAGTAGAGGTTCTTGTAGCGGCTGCTGTATCATAGCAAACAGTCAATAGATGTACTTGCAGCGGCTGCTGTATCATGGCAAACAGTTAGTGTAGGTACTTGTAGCGGCTGCTGTACCATGGCAAACAGTCAGTAGAGGTTCTTGTAGCGGCTGCTGTATCATAGCAAACAGTCAATAGATGTACTTGCAGCGGCTGCTGTACCATGGCAAACAGTCAGTAGAGGTACTTGTAGCGGCTGCTGTATAATGGCAAACCGTTAGTACAGGTACCTTGTAGCGGCTGCTGTATCATAGCAAACAGTCAGTAGATGTACTTGTAGCGGCTGCTGTACCATGGCAAACAGTCAGGAGAGGTACTTGTAGCGGCTGCTGTATCATAGCAAACAGTTAGTAAAGGTACCTTGTTGCGACTGCTGTATCATGGCGAACAGTCAGTAGATGTACTTGTAGCTGCTGCTGTATCATGGCGAACTGTAGAGGTACCTTCTAGCGGCTGCTGTATCATGGCAAACAGTCTGTAGAGGTGCTTGTAGTGGCTTCTGTATCAAAAGACTGAGAACTCACGGAAATGCCTAGTGGGCAGTGACGTTGATTGTGCTAACATAGCATCATCAGAATGAGCCACATCGAAATGCGTAGATAGTATAGTGTTGCTACATTATGCGATCACCTAAATAACAAACCACGTCTGTGTTCTTGTTTCGCCCTAGACATGTGTTAAGCAATCGGGGTATTTTTTTTGTTCTCGGCCATTTCCTTTTTCCCGTGAATTGGTTGCTAGTTTTCTCCACACTTTTCGAGCTCGTTTCTTTCCAAAACGTGCCCGCCATTACTGACTGTCTGTTACAAATGCTGCGTATTTACCGAGAGTAATAGAGGAAGGTTCCAGACAATCAGAGACCAATATGTTTGCTTCATTGACTAAACACAACCTTTCTATAGAGTAAGAGAGGCTTACATGATGAAACTTCTTGATCTCATACAATGATGGAAAAGACTTTGGACTAATAAAGAATATGTATTAAAAGCGACATAAAGGACCCGTTTCCAAGCCTCTTAGCGCATTGGGAATATAGGGCTAGGCCTATATTTGTATAGACCTGTCGGCACTTGGTGGGCAGTGTGGTCAGCATCATAGACCTGTCGGCACTTGGTGGGCAGTGTGGTCAGCATCATAGACCTGTCGGCACTTGGTGGGCAGTGTGGTCAGCATCATAGACATGTCGGCACTTAGTGGGCAGTGTGGTCAGCATCATAGACCTGGAGGCACTTAGTGGGCAGTGTGGTCAGCATCATAGACATGTCGGCACTTAGTGGGCAGTGTGGTCAGCATCATAGACCTGTCGGCACTTAGTGGGCAGTGTGGTAAGCATCATAGACCTGTCGGCACTTGGTGGGCAGTGTGGTCAGCATCATAGACCTGTCGGCACTTAGTGGGCAGTGTGGTCAGCATCATAGACCTGTCGGCACTTGGTGGGCAGTGTGGTCAGCATCATAGACCTGTCGGCACTTGGTGGGCAGTGTGGTCAGCATCATAGACCTGTCGGCACTTAGTGGGCAGTGTGGTCAGCATCATAGACCTGTCGGCACTTGGTGGGCAGTGTGGTCAGCATCATAGACCTGTCGGCACTTGGTGAGCAGTGTGGTCAGCATCATAGAGCTGTCGGCACTTGGTGGGCAGTGTGGTCAGCATTATAGACCTGTCGGCACTTAGTGTGCAGTGTGGTCAGCATTATAGACCTGTCGGCACTTGGTGGGCAGTGTGGTCAGCATCATAGACCTGTCGGCACTTGGTGGGCAGTGTGGTCAGCATCATAGACCTGTCGGCACTTGGTGGGCAGTGTGGTCAGCATCATAGACATGTCGGCACTTGGTGGGCAGTGTGGTCAGCATCATAGACCTGTCGGCACTTGGTGGGCAGTGTGGTAAGCCTCATAGACCTGTCGGCACTTGGTGGGCAGTGTGGTAAGTCTCATAGATCTGTCGGCACTTAGTGGGCAGTGTGGTAAGCCTCATAGGCCTGTCGGCACTTGGTGGGCAGTGTGGTAAGCCTCATAGACCTGTCGGCACTTGGTGGGCAGTGTGGTAAGCCTCATAGATCTGTCGGCACTTAGTGGGCAGTGTGGTAAGCCTCATAGACCTGTCGGCACTTGGTGGGCAGTGTGGTCAGCATCATAGACATGTCGGCACTTAGTGGGCAGTGTGGTCAGCATTAGAGACCAGTCGGCACTTGGTAGGCAGTGTGGTCAGCATCATAGACCTGTCGGCACTTGGTGGGCAGTGTGGTCAGCATCATAGACCTGTCGGCACTTGGTGGGCAGTGTGGTCAGCATCATAGACCTGTCGGCACTTAGTGGGCAGTGTGGTCAGCATCATAGACCTGTCGGCACTAAGTGGGCAGTGTGGTAAGCATCATAGACCTGTCGGCACTTAGTGGACAGTGTGGTCAGCATCATAGACCTGTCAGCACTTAGTGGGCAGTGTGGTCAGCATCATAGACCTGTCGGCAGTTGGTGGGCAGTGTGGTCAGCATTAGAGACCAGTCAGCACTTGGTAGGCAGTGTGGTCAGCATCATAGACCTGTTGGCACTTAGTGGGCAGTGTGGTAAGCATCACGCCGGCTGGAAAACGACATGGTGCAAAACAAAAACACAAAACAAATGGATAAAAAAAAGGCAAGTGCCAGCTCATCAAACTGAGGTAAAAAGAGGTATATGTTATATGTCCAGAGCGTATTTATCTACACAGTGATACAATTATTAGGCAATTGTCTCATAAAATGACCATTTTGACAGTCTCAGACGTATTTTTCCTTTTACTATACTCTATTGTTTCGCAAAAGAATGCATCCTTTTTCAAGTGTCGAGTATTGTCCTCGGCATGAAGCAAGTAGTTTATCATTGCCCTGTTTCTCGGCAGTGACCACACCGGTCTTATGACCCACATCAACTACAGCCCGATCCTCTGTCCACT